TATTTTTTAGATGATCAGAAGAAAAAAGAAGAGGAAAAGAAGAAAGAAAAGGAGATAAGAAAGCAAAAGGAAAGGAAGGAGAAAGAAGAAAAGGAGAGGAAAGAAAAGGAACGGAAGGAAGCGGAAAAGAAGAAAGCGGAAAAGAAGAAAGCGGAAAAGAAGAAAGAGGAAGAAAAGAGAAAAGAGGAAGAAAAAGGGAAGAAAAAAGAGGAAGAAAAGAAGAAAACTAAAGATCAACAAAAATCAAAATCTTCAAAGGACAAAACATCGAAGGAAGATTTGATAAAAGTTAAAAAAGAAAAGGGGGTAGTAGAACCTTCTTCCAAAGATTCTAAAAAGAAAGATAAAGGAGTTAATCCACAAATTAAAATAAAAGTAGAACCTGGTGAAGTAAAAAAAGAGAAGAAAGAATCATCCAAAGACAAGAAGAGAAAGAATAGTGGAGGAGGAGGGAGTAGTAGTGGTAAAAAAGGAGAGTCTTCAAATAGTGATAAAAGAAAGACTTCTAGCGGTGATAGAAAGAGTAAAAAACAAAAAATTGGGACAACAAATCCACCAAATCCTTTGCAAACACAAAATAATCCTCCTCGTAAATCTTTAAATTTATAGCTAAAAACCCTCACTATAAGATGGCAGAACGACAACAGCGGATATAAAATAAAAAAATTTTTTTATCCGCAATCGTCGTCCGCAAGTATAGACCGTGTTATGTATCGTCTTGCGGTGTGTCCGATACTAACAGAAACAAGACTTGACTAACAACAAAGTTTATCACAAGCAACAATACAATAGAAATAGGCGAGACTGTGCATTGGCTTTGACTAGACTATGGGCTAACTGTAGACTGACTAACTAACTCCTCGACTACTAAAAGGCTTCGCCTTTTATACTAAGCCGCCACCCTAACACCTCCCTTCTTTAATTAAGTCGGGACTACGCTTCCGACTAGACTTGGTGGACTTCAAAAAAACTACTAGCCAACGCAAACAAAACATTGAAAATACATACAAAGGGCCAAAATACAATGTGAGCAAACAAAAAGGGGATATACAATAATTACAAACAAAAATTTACAAAAACAATATTATCACAATTATTTACTTCTTATTTACATTCCCTCTATTTCCGATCATCTTCCGTTCCAGTGCTCGCGTGCATTGGCTCATCTTTTTGCTTCATGTTTTCTTCGCTCACAAGTTCGATGTCCACGTCCTGCAATTCGTCTTCTTTCTGGAGGATCCGGATGTTCTTCTTAAAGATCGCTGAAAGTTTCTCTTTGTCTTCTGCCCCCAGACTTTCAACCGAGCTCGACCTTTGATCCTCTTTTGATTGACTTTTCATTGTTGCATCATCGAACCACTTTTTCTTTCGAATAAACCACTCCTCACGGCTGACTATGCTACGCAATGATGGCACTTGGACTTTCCAAATTTGCCCGACTTTGTTCATCAACTTCCCTGCTAACCACATTGTTTTACCACTACGATTCGTGTTTTTGACTAAGACTTCCATTCCATTTTCGAATTTATTCGTTCTTCGCCAAGCTTTCTTCTTTTGACTATGGAATGGTTTCTTCGATTCTTGACTATTGAATTCTTTATTTCGAATCGGCGTCTCTTGTATCTTGGACTTTGGGCTTCTCCAATCTTTCCACTTTTGACTTTTGTTTTGACTTCCTCTTGCAAAATATTGCGACAAGACTGGCGATTTTGTCCCGAATTTGTTTAACCACGGAAGTCCCATGATATTAATGTTTCCTTCGACTATGTGGACTTCTTCTTCCGAGGTTTTCCCAAATAACTCAACCTTGACCTTGACTTTGCCTTCTATCTTGAAGTTCGATTTGCCTAACCCGACTCCAGAATAATTGACTTGACTAATCTCAGGCTTGCCCAAATCGTTCCAGGTCGCTTCGGTAATACAATTGATTTGTGCCGCTGAATCGACAATCATCTCAACGTTTTTGTCGTTTAACTTGACTGACTGTGTAATCCATTTCTCTTTTAGCAGAATCTGTGTCGGATCGACAATATCGGCAATACACACATATGGACCTGAATTATTAGGGTCAATAGACATATAATTAACTTCTGGGCGACTATTACGATTTAACCAACCTCTAGGGTATCTACAGAATCGGCTAATGTGTCCCCTCTTCCCACAATTATAGCACTCCTTCTGTCCATATTGTGGACGACTTGTCTGACTAAATTGTCGATCATTGACTTGACTATGTTGACGTTCTTCTCCTTGACTGAATTGATTCCTTTTGTCCTTTTCGTCTTTACTACTTTTCACATTTTGATTGACCTGAATAGTTTTACTAATATTATTCACCTCCACAGAATATTCAGGTTCAAATCTGACCTTTGACTGGTTATCCGCGAATACCTTTGCATCAGACTTATTTGCCAAATAGCTACGGACTTCCTCCATCAATGCCTTCAATGTGCATACTTCTGACTTTGAATATTTCTCTACGAATCTCAGACTGATTTGCCGGACATCTAACGCTTCCTCTGGAATGCCTGCAATGAACACAAGAATTTTACTTTCTTCGACTGTCAACGCCATTTCCGCCTTTTCACATTCTGCGTTTACTAGAGTTCCAAACTCAAGAATTTTTTCGATACAAGGGCATTTCATTTTAATGACTTCGAAACGTTTGACTAATTTGGAACGGGGATCACAGAATTCCTTTTTCAACTCTCCGACTAATTCCCCAAAGTCCATCTCAACTAATTCTCTGGGCAATAACTTTTGCGCCATCTTCGAATACTCAACTTGCCCTAACTTATCTACTAACAACCGGACTTTGACTTTTTCCTCTAAGGACTTGGCGTCTACCTCGAAGTAAGACTTATTTTTGAGGTACCATGACTCAAATGTGACCCCCTTTTCGATGTCTGCCTGGAACTCTGTAACTAGCGTCTTCAACTTACAGTACAAGTCTGTTGACTGTTTCTCCTCCGACTTTGGTTCCTCTGACTTTTTGCCTTTCATCATCTCCAGCATCTGAGCTTGCAATTGTTGCATCTGTTGTGACTGAGCTTGCATCTGAATTTGCGACTGCAGGAATTTTTCAAGAATTTGCTGATCCATCTGAATTGACTAATTATTTTACTACTGACTAATGCAAACTAACTTGAATTGTTCGAATAACTGCGACCGCGCCACTGTTATGTATCGTCTTGCGGTGTGTCCGATACTAACAGAAACAAGACTTGACTAACAACAAAGTTTATCACAAGCAACAATACAATAGAAATAGGCGAGACTGTGCGTTGGCTTTGACTAGACTATGGGCTAACTGTAGACTGACTAACTAACTCCTCGACTACTAAAAGGCTTCGCCTTTTATACTAAGCCGCCACCCTAACAGACCGGAATTGTCAGCCCGGAATTGTCGTATCCGCAATTGTCGTAACACCCTATACGATACCCACTTTTTGTAAAATAATGCCTTATAATGAGAGGCATCTTAAATTGAGTGTATCACATAGGCACTAGTAACATAGGCAATAGTAAAAAAACCCCGAGTCGAGAACGAGAGCTAAAAACTCGGGAATTTCCCGATACGGGAACCGAGAGTCTAGAACATCACTAATAAGCACTTCCCCCATTCACATCAGTAGACTAATCAAAATTAAAATTTGGGGATATCTTATAGTAGGGTTCAACTGTATATTAAAAAATTTTTTTTAAAGCATATCCGCAACCTCAACATTATTTAATGCATCACCCCTCGCAACGTAAAAATTATTAATTAAAAAATGTATTCTAATCGAAATTTTAGCAATGTATTATCCTCCTTACATGCACCATATGCAAAGTTTCATGCCTACCCAGCAAGGTTTAATGCCCCACCAGCAATTACCTCCCCATCAACAAGGTGAGAATTATTTAAAGAAGTTTTCTGTTTGATATTCCCCGACACACTAGGAAAATCGGTGAAAGGGTATTGGTAAAAACAGTTGTCGGTAAAAAGTCTGTCGGGCATGCGGACTGGTCGTAGCACACACTTCAAAAATATTCAAAACTTCGCTCTTGAAAATCCTAAAACCTGTGGGACAAGTTCATTGTTTGGGTTAAAAATTTAAATATGCTTACGATTAGTCCTCCAACAAATCCCCCCTGATTTAGTGGTTAAAAATATATCGGGGGTTTTTAATCCAGATATCCCTCCAAGTCCTCCGGTATCTTCCTTAATCCTTCATGATCCTTACTTATCACTTAATGCCTCATTTTCTCCATATCGTCCAAATTCTTTCTTAATCTCACAAATCCCCCCATATCCTCAATTCATTCCTTATCCTCAACGCATCTATCCATATCCCTAAGCCTCATTATCACCTTAATCCCTCCATATCCTCAAATCTCTCGATAACAATCTTTCATCATTTTCTAACCAAAAAATTTAATCTTCAGGCGAAAACCAAATATTTTTTATTTAAAGCTGCTCTACCAAATGCACCTCAACAAGATCCTTCTCAACAACAATTTATGCCAACCCCACCTTACTGTAAATTAAAAAGAAATAAGAAATATTTTTTTTCTAATTTTTAGATAATCCGTATCCGTACCCACCACATTTAATGTACCCACAATGTAAAGAAAGTTTAATTTTAAAATAGAAAATTTTTTTTAAAGTTCCTCCTCATCAACCATTTATGCCGCCCCCGCCTGGTAAAAATAATTATTAAATTTTAAAAATATTAAAATTTATAGTAGTGGCGGATCATAGTGCTACTAATTTTGAAGGTTCTGGCAGCCGAAAACGTATTTCATTTATTTTTAAATTTATAATAATCGAACATAAAGCAAGGGTTTATGCGGACTATATTTGCGGACATTTTTTGCGGACTATTTTTGCGGACTTTTTTCGGTGTCTTTCTTTGCGGACTTTTTTTTGCGGACTTTTTTCGGTGTCTTTCTTTGCGGACTTTTTTTTTTGCGGACTATATTTGCGGACTTTTTTCGGTGTCTTTCTTTGCGGACTATTTTTGCGGACTTTTTTTTAAATAAAAATTGAAGCTTTAATAAAATAAATATTGAAGATAAAAGAACCTCGCGTGAAACTATAACACTAGGTGATGATATGCCTTCAAAAACATCTACACAATCTAAAAGTAATAAAAATCAAGATAGAAAAAAAGACAAAACAAAAAAAAATGATGATGATGTAGTTAGTATATCCTCAAGTGAAGATGAAAATAATCAAAAAGAAAGTGAATCAGGTAGTGAAAATTCAATGGGAGGACAGATAAAAGATACCACCTTTAAGCTGAAAGATCGGTACCTTATAATGAGCTGTGTGTTAAATTGGGGGTAATGCTTAAACAAACTCTCCCTTCTATCCAGTAGCCAAACAATTTTAAAAGGTGTCTCATAGGGTTATCTAATTTGGGTGTTATAATCAAGTCTGAAAGTAATTGAACTAAACTTTAAAGATGCCCCTTCTGATGATGAAAAAGGAAGTTCTCCAAGCGGAAAAGATGGTGGTAGCAATGAAACTGCTTCCAAAACAAGTAATTCTGACAAATCAGAAAGTGACAAATCTTCTGATAAATCTTCTGGTCGATCGACAAGTGGAAATAGCAGTGATGGGGGAAATTCAAGTTCAACCTCGCCAAGTTCAAACTCAAAAGCTTCCAAGGACGGAAATACTTCTGACAGTTCTTCCGGAAGTTCTTCCGGAAATTCTGGCGATAATCAGGGAAAAGAAAAACGTAAAAATAGGAGAAGTCAACGATCTGTCGGGCAAATTTTGAAAGATGACGATAAAAAGGGGAAAAAGCCTGTGTATGTGGATTTAACTTTAACTGATGATGAAGATGAATTGGAAAATGTTAAAAATTCTGTTGATGAAAATGAAGAGACTAAAAAAGCAAAAACTAAAAAAATTGGGGAAATTTTGGGAAAGAGTACTGTGGGGAATTCTGATAAAGAATTTAAAATTAGAGATTATGTTAAATCGGCAATCAGTAAAGAAGACAAAGAATTTTTTGATAAAATAAGTAATTCTTTTAAAGATTACAGCACTCCCATTATTCATCTCCCATGATATACACTAGCTCCCGAGGGTGTCGTTATAAAGAAAGATTAATAAGAGCTCTCTAGTACGACACCTCTTCAAAGAAATTTTACCCTTATTACGCTACACCTTCGTTAATACGTCAATTCCCTTTTGTGTTATATAGAAGATACTTAGGAGGCAATCCTGGAAGAATTCTCTTTACGACACCCATCATACAATATTTTCTTTCATACGCCAGCTCCCGAGGGTGTCGTTTTATAGAAACACTCCCTTGTTACAACGTTTCTTTTTTAACGTCTCCCTTCCCTTAATACGTCAGCTACGTACATAGAACCTTATTTTTTAATTTTAGATGTTCCTGTGCCAAAGAAAGTTGTTAGTCAAGATAAGCGTAAGAATTATATTCCTCGCCGTATCGAGGTAATTATAATTTAAATTAATTTTTTAAAATTAATTTTTAACTTGTATAAATAGATGCCGTCTACTTCAGAGCAGCAAACTGAAACTGAACAAGTTAGTAATAAGTAGGGGTAGTTCCTCGAAAGTCGAGGAATTTGACTTTTTTTTGAAAATCTCCGATACCTTCTCTTCCCACACAAATCAGGGAGAAACCCAAATACAGTCAAACAACCTCTTGTAACTGAAGGGATCTCTCCAAATATCATCTCTCCTTTCCCCCTACTTACAGGAACCAAACGAATTATAAACCCTTCCTTAAACGGCAGTATACTCGATTGATATCTCATAATGAGATATTTAATTAAAAATAATTATAAACAGAAGTCGACTACCTCTGAGCAACAAACTGAAACTGAACAGGTTTGTAGAGAGATACTTTTTAAACAAAAATTAATTCCTTTATAGGCAAAGGGAAGAATTGTGGGAGGCTACCATCTACGTGCAACTCCTCAAGCGCCAACAATGGATGACTATCATACAACTTTTCCTTTAAAACTTGAAAAGCTTCCTCCTAAACCTAAGGTGGATCTAAATAAAAAGATAAATTTATTTTTGAATATTTGTAGAAAGCATCCAACAAACCATTTCAAAAACATAGAAGTTTAGAGATTAGGGAGAAAATTTTGCGAGAACAGAATAAATTGACAGAAGAGAATACTGAAAAAGAATTGTCCCCAGCATTGTCTGTTACTAACCCAGAATTGGCGAATAATCAGGAAATTCCAACACAAGTTTTGCCTCCAACCAATGTAAAAAATATATACAAATAATTTTTGATTTAGTGAACACTCTCTTTATAATAAACTCTTCATAAAGAGGAACATCATCCTTCATATTGTTGTCGTTGTCTATCCGTAGAATCCCGCTAATCTCCTTCTACCCAGCTTCTATCTCCCCCTAAGTTTCACCCAATTCGTTTTTGTTCATTAAAAGTCGACGCCTTAGCAGATTTCCGTATACCCTGTTTTAATCTCATTAGGATTGTCGATTTGGAAGCGAACCGAAGAATCGAGGATTTTCGGTTGGTTTTCCAAGAACCGACACCTCTATCCCTCATTTCCACAACTTAACCCGTTCCCATCTACAGTAGACGTTTATATATCCCTTTGGGTACAAATGGACCCTAATGAACCATTTAGGATCCACATTAAAAGTATAGTCGACAACCTATCGACTCATTTTTAATTTTTAAAGGTTCCAAATCCAGAAATACCGACAGACGCCTCTTCAACTGGTTCGAATGAGCGTGAAAAATTAATTCCTGATTTAAATTTAGCACTTGAAGAGAATGATGAGAATAAGCAAGATGAGCCAAAAATGGATTGAGAGAATTTTTAAGAGAAAAGAAAAACATAACCGTAAGTTAAGTAAATTTTTTATTTAAAAATGGTTAGGGTTAAAAAATGGTCAATTAGTAATTAATTTTTGTTTAAAAAAATTACTTGGACTTTCTAGTTATAGAAATGGAAGATAATAGTCCTGGGCCGGGCCCGGTAGTCCGGAAACCATCAAAGAGAAAAGTTCGAACTCTAGTACTTATAAATATCTCTGACCATTTTCAACCCTGACCGTTTCTAAATATCTGAAGAAAACTATATTAGTTAAAAAAACTTTTTTATGATTTTTATCAATCGAATGATTATTTAAAAAATTTACAAAAAAAATTTATTTTCTAGTAAATTATTTAAAATTTATTTTTCTAAAAATTTTTTTTAAATTTATTTTTCAATTTATTTTAGTAGTAGATAATTTATGTAAAGGTTGTGTTTATGTTATGGTTTTTGGAGAAAAACCCCTATCCAAAATTTTTTTGGAAAATTTTAATTCGAAAGCATGCCCCCAACATTTTTGCGTGACACTTCATAAGCACAACCTATATTTTTTATTTAAATATTTATTTTTATTCAACTAAAAAATTTTTTTTAAATTTTTTCTATTATTTCCCTTAGAGGGGTTGTTGGCTTTCAATTATTAACCATCGATACATTTGGGTTTTCGGCTAAAACCAAATTTTAAAAGACCGATTTTTAATAAATTTCGGTTTATTTTGCAGGATTTTTTAAAATCACTCATTTTCAAAAAAAATTTTTTTCGGGTTTTAAAAATGGTAGCCAACAACCATAGTTCCCCCATTTATCCTTTTTAAATTGTGTTTTTTTATTTTAAAGTAGAAATTGTATAAATTTTAGTTAGAAAATATTTTACTTGTTTTAAAAATATAAACAAAAAAAAGAGAGATCAGACTGGGAGGCTCTCACACAGCAACATAACCTGCAACTTAGAGCCGTTTCAGTGGCACTGAAATAAATAAAAAATTTTCTCTTTTTCTATATCGCTCTATTTTTTTCGCATGCTATTTCTCCAAAGATTTGATGTATAATTTCGAGAAGCCTTATCTCGGAAAAAAACTTTGAGAAAAAAATTTCAACTTAGCCAAATCGTTAAACAAAGTCTTATCTTTGTTTTAAAACCAAATTTATTGATTTTTAATATGTTTAAAAAAAGTTACATATGGCTTTATAAGTAAATTTAGAAAATGAAAAATAAAGGAAAAAATTGTTTTGAAAAAATTTATTTTAATTTAAAATGACATTAAATGTTAATTAGAAAAGATATTATTAGGATTTCCTTATTATATAATTAATTTTCACTGAAAGGATTCGAACCTCTTGCATTTTTCGCTGCCACTAACCAACTAAACCATACTCCCGCACTGAAACGCTGGTTGCACCCTCTGCCTGTTTTATGTTGCTGTGTCTCAGACAATGTGTTAGTGGGTAATCTGACTAATGAAGAGATATAAAGAGATTAGGGGTAATTAAGAAGTATCAAGGGATTTGGAGGCTAATGAGGAGTTCGGGAAGGTAAGAGGGATATAAGGGGATTTGGGAATATCGAGGATTAAGAGGGATATCGAGTGATATAGATAACTCTCTCTGCATTGGTGCCTTGCCAGATTGTCCACTGACAGATTTGTCCAGATTAGGATAGAACCTTATATAATCGGTTATCGAGATAAATTTTCGATAGTCTATCAAGTCCAGTCTCTAAGCATATATACAAAAACATAAGATAAAAAAATCTGTTTTTTAATAAAACCCAGAACGAATTAAAGGTATTTCCCCAGTCCGTGTATAATACCTCAATTCATCATCTGAATTGACAACAATTAACCTTCTCCTAACTAAAGAATCTCCACCAAGTAAAATTAGTTGTTGTTGAAGAGCTTTTAAAATTTTTAGATTTTTCAAAAAAATTTTTTTCTTTCTCCTTACCACTAGACATTTTAAATGGTTGGTCTCTTTGTCGTTGACTTCCAGCCAACCAATGAACTGTATCTCGACGAGAAATATTTTTCCCTTTCTTCCCATTTTCGTTAAAACGTTTAGAGCGTTTACGGCCTCCAAACGAGCCAAGTGTTCTAGAAACAATATCATCCCCTGGACAGCCTTCTACTGATGGACAGGTTGTCTGTATATGAGGAGGATTAGGTATAAGAGTATTTTAATTTAGAATTACTTGTGGACATGGTGCAAAAGGGCAAACTCTAATTAAACAAGTATATTGAACTTGAGTTGTCGTCTAAAAACAAAAATAATCAGATTAATGACAATTGTCCGAAGGACAAATGTCAAAATTGTCAAAAAAAATTGACAAATGTTAATATGACATATTGCCAAAATGACAGTCAGATTGGCAGACAAAATGCCAGGTGTCAAAACGACACATTGACAATTTGACAAAGATTGATAATTTATCGAAATCACCTGATAACGAAAAGCTTCTACAGTAACCCGAATACCGTAGTCTGTCTTTTGTGGAGGACAAACAAGCCCAACATGATCAGCCTGACAACCATCCTTTCAAAAATTATTTTTTGAATAAAATTTAATTTAAATTCAGTACTTTAACAATAGCCAGAGGCTCCTTTTCCCAATCATAAAGGGATCCGATTGGCTCAACCTGACAACCAGAAATTGACATATGAGAAGCTTTAAAGAATAATTATAATACTTATGTATGTTAAGTTTAAAGATAGTCGGACTCATGTTAGTCAAACCTCCAATAAAACCTCGTTATAAGATACTTTCAATATTAGATACACCTCTATTTAAGAGACGTATTATGTGTGGCCCTTAGATGGGAGGACTGCCAGATAAGGTTTACGGATCCGGATATCCGAGGACCTCCAACTATCCGAGGATTTCCAGCTAACCTTCTATTTAAGCAACACCTCATTACAGGATAAAATATTATTTCCAGCTCCAGAGAAGTTATCCTATAAGGAGGTTCTGACTTTATCTAAAAAAATTTTCTTACGTGGAATAGCAAAATAAGGTGTAAAAGCTAAAGTTATTCTACTACCAACAACAACAGCATCAGCCTTTAAATTTATTTTTGAAAATTTTTTTTAGAAAATTTACAGGTTGTCCATTATGAAATACTTCAAAAATAACTTTTTCTCTTTGAGATCCTCTTCTCTCTTCTATATTCCCAACCTGAGTACCTGGCGGTTTATTACCGCCGAAGGATGTTGAGGGTGGGTGAACATCACCAGAACTAATAGAAAAATTGAGAAAATAATTTTTTGAAATTAAAAATATGTATGTAAATCTTTTTAAGTTTGGGTTGCCCATTTAAAGGTTAAAAATCCAAAAAAAATTTTTTTGGAAAAATAAGATAAGGGGGAGTTAATAAGATAAGAAACGAGGTACTAAGAGTTAACAGCAGAGATAGTTTCGAAGGAAAACTCGAAAACGAAATTTCGAAACAATTCTGAGTACACTAACAACACTAATCTCTCAGCATTTTAGACAGCTCACTTATAAAAAATTGTAAGCTAAAGAATCGTTTTATCTGTCAAGCATGATTGGCAGATTAGATATTCCTCCTTTGCTCACTTAAATTTTTAATCCCTTCAATTTTAATAAATTATCCCCTCAATTTATTATTTCTGGTACTTGTGCTTTTTAATCCCTCAAATTATTATTAGATATGTTAAAAACATACGGAGGTAATCCTCCCCCTCCTTCTCCATTTCCTTCAGATTTTTCCGAAACTTGCAATTTTGGGGAAGTACTAGAAGCAATAGAAGTAGTTGTACTAGTAGAAACAGGTGGAGGCAAAGTAGTTTCATTAATTAACGTTTCTTTACTTGATTCTTTAATTAATACAGTTATTGGTGTCGTTAAATTATTTTCTTTTACTGCCTGGGTTGCTTCTGAGTTTAATTCTGATTTTATTTCTGATTTATTTTCTGATTTTAATTCTGATATTTTTTCTGATTTTTTTAATTCTTCTGCTTTTTTTGCTTCAGAACTTGTAGTAGATTTAAGGGTTGCTTCTGTTTCTGCTTCTGTTTCTGCTTCTTTAAATTCTGTTTCTTTAAATTCTGATTTTTTATTTTCTTCTGATTTATTTAATTCTGATTTTATTTCTTTTCTTCTCTTTTCTTCCTCTCTCTCCTTATTTTTATTTATCTCTTCCCCCTTTTCTTTAATTACTTCCATTTTTGAATAAACCTCTTCCTTAGCTTCTTCCTTATTTATTGTTGTGGTTATTGGTATTTTAATTGTGGATGGTGTTGAATTAATTAAAATATTTTTTGTTGTATTTATTTTTTGTTCATCATTTTTATTATTTAAATAATTATTATTTCTGGTACTTATAAAAATTTTGTCGGGAGGGAAGGCCAAATGAGTAGAAAAACTTTAAAAAAGATAAAATTATCATTTAAAAGTTTTTAAAAGTTTTTAGTTATCCGCAAGTCAGACATTCAATTAAAAAGGGGTTTTTGGTAAAAATTATAAAGCATGCGTGTCAGGGACTTGGACTTGATTTTTTGTTTTTTATGTAAGGAGCCTTTTATTTTTTGATTTTACCTATTCCCCTAATTTAAACAAGAATATTTTTAATTCGAATTATAAACTCGAGTTTTACAAAACTTCATTAAGAGAGGGAGATTAGTCTGACAGATACTACTCCAAAAAAGTTTAGCTGTCAGAATTTTCCAGAATTTTTGACATTCTTAGGTGGAAGAGGTGTCTCTAAAATATCCCTCTTCCTTCTCTTTTTTAATAGAAAAATTTATGACTTGCGGACAAAAATTGCAAAAATTTTTTGAGAATATACCAAAAACTCTAATAAAAATTTACCTAAATTCCCTATTTTGAGCTTCCAAATTATTAACATTTTCATAATTTATTGAACGTTTAGTTGTTGTTTTATTATTAATTTGAGGTGTTGAAGTAATTATTTGTTGTTGTTCTGTTATTTGAAGAGGCAAGTTCGTGGTCGAAGTCTCATTTAATTTCTCCTCCTCCTCAAAAAAACTTTCCATTCCAATTGTTGGGGGTCTTCTACGTTTTATTGTTGATGAGGATCCATTTTTATTTTCTAAGGGTAATGTTGAGGTAGTTTTTGGGAGAAAAGTAATCATTGTTGTTTCAATTTCTATTTCAGAAGGTAATTGTTGAGGTGTTGTTGTCGGTTGGAAAGTTTGTTGTAATAGTAGAGTTGAGGAGGTATCATTATTAACTTGAAAATAAATATAAATTTTGTTTTTTTTTAATTGAGAGACAAAAATAATTTTTTTATTACTCCCTTGATTAGTAAAGGTGATTCAGTGATTTTTCTTTAAGATTTTCAGAAGACAAAAAATTAGTGTTCAACCCAAAGTAAAATCTAATTTAAATTTTGTTTTAAAAATGCAGCCGAAGAAAATAAATGAGTGCCTAGGCACCAAAAATTAGCCTAAAAATATTTTCTAAATTCATTTATACATATGCAAGGAAAATTCCCATTTTTAGGACCGACCATTTCTCACAGTCAGAAAAAATTTATGATTTTGTTTCAGGCCAATGGCAACACTCTTCGCTTTCGAATTTTTAAAAGGTCGATGGCAAATCTTTATTTTAGGCAAATTTTAATTATTTCCGGCATATTTTAAATTTGCCTAGAAGCTCACTTTTTGTAGTAGTTTCAGAAAATTCATTTTGAAGAATTGAATATAACGGTAAAGAAAATGTATCTTTAGTAAATTCATTTTTCTGTTTATTATTTTCTTTTAAATTAATTTTTGTCGTCTCAAAAGTTGTAGAAGAAACTTCATTATTTTTTTGAATTTCTTCTTCACTACTTGAAGACTCTACCAATTTTTTATCCTTTTTATTTTCTTCTTCTTCACTATTATTTATTGTTGTTGTTGTTGCTGAATTAGCCAATTCTTCCAAAATTGCATTAATTGAATTTCCCCTAATATAATTATTTTTTATTAAATTTTCGGTAGGAGAGGTTGTTGTTTGGTTGGTTGTAAGTTGTGTTGTTGTTGAATAACTTTAAAATTAAATTTTTGAAAAATGTAAAATTTGGACTAGGCACTTTTTTCAGAGTTTTTTATGAGTCGGCGGCAAATTACATAAAATTTCAGGCAAATTTTAAATTCGCCGGCATATTTTAAGTTCGTCTGGTATTAAAATTTAGTGTCATATACAGCCCTGGGCTTCTATTTTTCAATACCCCTCATTGAGTGGGCTTCTAATAGGGCATGGGCTTCTATTAGAGACAATCCGGTAAGTTATTTCATCATAATAAATTATGGGAAAAGTATGGAAGATAAACAGAAAAATATATTTTTGGAAAAAAATTGTCCGCAAGAAAAGTCCGCAAAAATAATTTGTCCGCAAAACTCTTAATAAGTGCCCCAGTGCTTTTAATGCCCCAGTATATCATTTAAAAACCTTTCTTGACTAATTTGTCTTTGTTTAGTCGGTGCTGGACAACGGGCTTGATAAGTCAAATCATCTGCCGTTATAAAATATAAAGGTTCTACCCCATCTGTTGATAAAACAACTTCAAGGAATATATCATTCTCCTATAAAAATTATTTTTATAATTTCAAAATAATTTTAAAGACCAGTCTTCTCATACTGTCAGAACAATTTTTGGCGTAATTAGGATAGGGAAAAAACAATTCAAAATGTTGTTGTTCCTTAGGTTCTACACGGCAAGAGAAAAAATCATAGAGGCCATAAAGGGCGCCGGTATAGGGAATGAGGGAATCTACGGTTATCTGAATTGGGAAAATAAATTTTAGAGAAAATAAGAAGAATATACTCGAATGCCGGTAGGCTCACAATTTGAAGTAAACGTAAAACTATCTGAAAAAATTTTTTTTTAATTTTGTACAGTATAAATCGGGGGTCTAGCCGACCCGATTCCTAAAAATCGGGAATTCCAAAATTATTTTGTGTCAATAACACCTATTTCCAAAATCAGGAATTTATATTTTAAGCAGGCTAGAGCTTTGGAAGAGAGTGGAATAGGCTCTAGAACCCCTAGACCCTGAATCAGGACCGCTCCGACACCCATCTTTATTAGCATAAATTTAAGAAATACTTCCCCACATTTTCTGGGGAAACAGAAAATATGCCATTTTTGTGAATGAAAAGGAGCGACAATATCCAATGGCACATATTTAAAAAAATAAATTTTTTTTAAACTTACTGTTGTAACAATTATTTTCGTAATAATCAATTCTATAGTTTGGATCTTAAAATTTGAGAGAGAATAATTTAAAAAATTTTTTAAAGCAAACTATTATTAATACGAATTGAGGTTGGTTTGCTATGTTGATTTTGTGAAGATAAATGGCAACCTTTTAGAGGGGATATGTAGTAATTTTATTAAGATTATTTAAAAAACCCCCATCTGTCCTGTTAAAAGACACACTTTTACAAACATTTGATTTTGAAGTTTCCGCGCTATTTAAACATAACGCCAAACATTCTTCCAAACTTGAAGTAAATTTAATTTGAGTAACATCGCTAGACAACATATAACGGTCTGAAAAGAATGTAAAGGCATACTCGCCGGTACAGCGTTTTGAAGCTTAAATTGAAATTTTTGGGAAGGATTTTAAAAAATACAAACTTTCTAGACAAAATTTCCAATAAAATGTGTATCTAAAATATAAAAAAAAGTTGAAAAAGTGTTTAAAAACTAGGAAAAGTGAGCAATTTTAAAGAAGTGCGCGTCATATTTTTTGAGGATTTTATTTTTTAACTTTAATCATACAATCATTCTATTGTTTGTAGGGTTGGGGTTTTCGAGTCGGACCGATCCGGCCGTCTTTTTTAGCCCAAAATTCGATGCCCGACTCAATCTTTCTCAACCCTAATTGTTTGTAACGTACAAAAATGCACAAAAAAAAGAGAAAAAAAAATTTAAAAAAGTGTCCACAAGAAGGACGTCTTTTCAATTATTCCGGAAATTATATTTTTAATATAAGTACCTATCATCCGCCTCCATATAACCATCGGTATGTTGAACATATTCACTACTAAAAAGCTGACAAGTATTTGAATGATTAGTTAAACCAACAAAGTAATTAATGGCAGAACACTAAGAAAATTTTTTTATTTTGAAAAAATGAAAAATTTTTTTAGAAATTTCAAAAAATTTTTAAAGAATTTTCGAAAATTTTTTCAAGTAAAAAACTACCTGTAAATATTTATTTTTGTTGAAAGGATTTAATTCAAAATTGCAAAAATTTTGACAATCAGAAAACGATAAATTATTCTCAATAATTGAAGAAGACAAATTTGTATCAATTTGATTATTTAATTTAACTCTAGGCCACCTAACATAAATTGGTTGGCAATTAAGTGAAGGGAGTGAAGAAGGTGTTGTTTCTGTTATTAAATTAAAATCAGAATTTAATTTTAATTTAAAAAATCATAATTATCAAGTTTTTATAATTCAGAAATTATTTATAAATCAGAATTTATTTATTAATTGATCAGAATAATTTTCTAATTGTATCAGAATTTTTTAAATCAGAACAATTTTATTACAAATCAGAACAATTATTTTAAATCAAAAATTAATTTTTAATATCAGAAATTAATTTTTAATATATCAGAATTATTTAAAAACCAGAATATATTTTCAAAAAAACCAGAATTTATTTTAGAAACCAGAATTTATTTTAGAAATAAGAATTTATTTTAGAAACCAGAATTTATTTTAGAAATAAGAATTTATTTTAGAAATAAGAATTTATTTTAGAAACCAGAATTTATTTTAGAAATAAGAATTTATTTTAGAAATAAGAATTTATTTAAAAAACCAGAATTTATTTTTTAAAAATCGGAATTTAATTTTTCAGAATAAAAAATCAGAACAATTTTTAATTTAATTTTAATAAAATCAGAATTTTTAAAATCAGAATTTAATTTTATAAATGAAAATTATAAATTAAAATATACCCTTTGTACAATGAATAAAATTAATTAATAAATAAACAATAAATAATAAAATCATAATTTAAAATAATTAATAAAATTAAATAAATTTGCTTTAAAAATAAATAAAATAAATTTTTTAAATATATTTTAAATAGTGAAAATTTACAAAAAAAAATTTAAAAAAGTTCTATATATTAATTCTATTTAAAAAATAAGATTAATCCTTGCGCAGGGGCTAATGTTCAATAAAAAAAGGAAAAGTGAATTATTGAAATGGTTTGAAAAAAAATTTTTTTTTAAATGGATTATGGAAAGGGAAAAAATTGGAACAAAAATAATTTATAAAAATAATTTTTTTTTGGAATTGGGGGAAAATTTAAAAATTTATTTTAAAAATTCAGAATTTAATTTTTCAGAATTAAAAATCAGAACAATTTTTAATTTAATTTAATTTAATTTTAATTTAATTTAATATTTTATTCAAAAATATTTTTTTTGCTGGATTAAACACAAGAATAAATAAAAAAAATCCAAGTAAAAATCCATTTTCAAGAATATTGAAAAAATTATTTATTTATTTACTACGTTAAGCCGGCAACAAGAACAAATAAGAAAAAATTGAAGAATATTCTTTTTTTCCTTTATTTTTTAATTAAAAAAATTTTTTTTTAATAAAAGAAAAAAATTAAAAAATACCCAAAAAATAATTTAAAAAACCCAAAAAAATTTTTTTTCAAAAAATTAAAAAATTTTAAAAAAATTTTTGCGCAGATAATTGGTATAAAAATTATGAAAATATAGTAAATATTTATTAAAATATACAAGAGTAAAACGAGCATTGAAGAGTGACCTAAATCTGTTGTAAATTATTGACGCAGTGAACATCACAAAAATGAAGGGAAGGTTAGTGGCATTTAATAAAATGGGGGGAGAGAAAATCTAAAAATGGACATTCAATGTGAATATTTTTGTAAATATCTGCGCGAGCAAGTGAGTGAAATAAAAATAATTGAAAGAGAAAAAAGAGTAAAAAATAAATTTAAATATTTTTTGTTTGATAAAATGAAGAATTTTTGATAATTTTGATAATTTTAGATGGATAAGAGAAGTCTAGATTTTTGAATAAAAAATATTATTTAGGGGTCATCCATGAAGAACTACAGCCCGAAGAACTATTGACCTTGAAGACTTACAAATTTAGAAATGGAATATTGAGGGATTTAAGTCATAAAGGGAATAAATACCCTCCTCTCTGAAAGTAAGCACCCCAGTTCTGTATTTCAAAACCTGTGGTGCGGTATTGTAAGTGTGTGAAAATTGAAGAAAAATAGAAATAGAGATTTGGGTGAGTAGTCCATCGATATTCCTTCAAATCCATCGATATTCCCTTAATTCCTCTAAATCTCTCGATATTCCCTTTCAAAGTTGTAGGCTTCAGAGTTAATAGGTCTTCAAGGTGCTGATATAGAAAATGTAGGGTGTATATCTTCAGGAATGGATACATTTTTTGTTTTTTAAAATGGATTAGGAGTATAAATAAAATAGAGATGAACTCAATTTATTCCTTCCTTTATTCCATTTTTTATTATAAAATGAGAAAGAAAAAAGTTGGCCTTGACACGATAAAATGGCGCATTGCTTAAAGAAAATAGGTAAAAAATTGTTAAAAAGGGAGTAATTAATGACTAAAATTTTTTATGAAGGTAAATGAGGGATTAGTAAATTTGAAATTCATTAAATAATAAAGCCGGTGATTAGTTACAACCAGAATTGATTTAGAAAATTAAAAAAGAAAATCGAGTGTTTGTTTTAATTAAGTTTGACACTTTAGTCAAAGAAGAGTTAAAAACAAAACATTGCCAATGTCCTAATCCCAACTAGGGATCAGACGTGGGCGAAACGTTTCGTTTCGTTTCGTTGTTTCGTTAGTTTCGTTATGTTTTTTACTGTTTCGTCTCGTTTCGTGACGAAACACTTTTTAATTTGTTTCGTTTCGTTTTGTTAACGAAACACCTGTGTTTCGTTAACGAAACATTAGGTACTTTTTAAGCCAAAATATCACTCAAAAACTGAAAAATTTTCCACTTTGGTGATGGAAATTCAAAAAATTTTTGCCTGCGGCGCCGAAATATGAATTTTAAGAGTCTTCAGGCATAATTTACAAGATTATTCGGAGAAATTGGGGTATTAATAGTAATATCGAGGGATTTTGTGGGAAGAGATATCGAGGCAAGTGTACATACCACCCTGTTTCAGTTTGTACCAGGCTCATTTGGGAGGCATTTGCCCTTTTTACCTTATCTGAAAAAGAAGAAATCTGGCCTATTAGCCTTCAAATTTAAAATTTTCGCCTGCGGCGCAGAAAAAAGGAATTTTTTGGTCTACAGCCTTCTAAAATTTAAAAATTTTTGCCTGCGCCGCTGAAAATCATAATTTTCAGCGGCGCCGAAAATTTGGTGCAGTAAATTTTCCTCCCTTTATCCCCACAAAAAATCCTGGCTATGGGCCTGATGGCGATATAGGGAATTAGGTGAAATTAAGAGAAAAATGAACATTTAAAATGATTTGCAATGGCTAAACACAAATTGGGATCAAAAATTGTTGCCCCATGGCTAATGGGACCACAATTTGTGGTTCCACATAATTATATGATGGCATAAATGTCATTAATGGCCAATTAACATGTTTAAAATTGAATAATTAATAAAATAATTAGGTTTTTTGAGATTTTTTTGGAAATTAAAATGTTTCGTTTTGTTTCGTTTCGTTTCGTTAAATTTTCACTGTTTCGTTTCGTTTTGTTAACGAAACGATTTTTAAAAATTTTTGTTTCGTTTCGTTTCGTCCAAAAAAAATTTGGAGTTTCGCCCAGGTCTGCTAGGGATGGGCCGGATTGAGAAAAAAGTTGGGTCGGGTTTCGGATCGGTTTTTCAAAATTCCTTCGAATCGAGTTTCGAGCAATACCTGTACCATTAAGGACATACAACTGCTGTTTGAATTTATTAATAAAAACAAATTAAAAACAAATAATTAACAAATTAACAATTGAAAAAAGACCTTTACTTCAAAAACAGCACGGTGTATTTATTCAAAAATAAATAAAAACAAAAGGTTTGGCAAAATGTTTTTGAGCCATTTTGCCCAATTATTGGCAAATTTTCCAATTTTTGAAACATTTAATTAGAAAAATATTTATTTTTACATAATTTAAATTAGGATGTTTTATTTAAGTAAAAAATACATTATTATAATTAGTTATTAATTAATTAAAAATATTTATTATTATTTTTTCCATGAAGAATTATTTATTTTCCCTCCGAGACAAGCTTATCATAAGCATCCTAAAATTAAATATAAATTTTAAAATATTTTTATTATTTACCAAAGTAAGAAAATCGCTCAATTCAGGCTCCAAAACAAATTTTTCCAAAAGTTCAGAGGCCTCAGGAATTCTATTTACAACAGAACCGGCACGTACTAAACGACGCTCAGTCTCCCTAAAATTTTTTGTTTAAACAAAAATTTTTTTAATTTTTACGATGCTATGGTCATTTTAACAAGTTGAGGATCAACAGTACGGCCATCTTAAAAATTGAAAAAAATTTCTTATCTGAAAAAATTTTCCGTTTTTACCTTCCAAACGCGCTTCATGACGAAGCCATTGCCAAAGCTGTGCACGACTAATTTCAGCTGTAGCTGCATCCTCCATTAAATTGTATAATGGAACACAGCCTGTACCACGTAGCCAGCTATCCAAATAGCCTAAAGGAAATTTCCAAAAAAAATTTTTTTGAAAAATTTTTTAGCTACCCAAAGTAATAGAAATATTTCGTCGGAATCCAGCTTCAGTTCTTACTCCTTCCGGAGGCGAAGTCAATCGTTGATTGTCAGTGAAAAAATCGGGAAGTTGTTTAAGTATTTGATTATGTCCATCCTTCATGTGGGCATCAAATACAGCTTGGGCTACAGGCACAAGTCCGGGATGAGCGACCCAGGTACCGTCATGTCCTAAAATATTTTTTGAATATTTTTCTAAGAATTTTTTTCTTCAAAGACCATCAGAAGCCTCCCTTTCTTTGTCCTTTCTAACAGCTTTTAATGCTTCCTCATTAGCTGTCTGGTCATGTTTAATAGGAATTTGCGCGGCCATTCCTCCCATTGCAAAAATTTTTCTTTGATGGGCAACTTTAATTGAAAGGAGGGAATAAGCACGGAGAAAATCGGAAGTCATTCCTTTGAAAGAAAATTTTATTTTTAATTAAGATTTTTTCCTTAATTTTCATACCAACTAAGAAACGATCTGGCAATAAAAATTTTCGATGATTTCGAAAAACCTTTAAAAAAAGAATTAAATTAATTAAAATAAAAATGGGTAAACTTTAATATATGAGAAGATATAATCCCAACGGCCACAATTAATACCAACAACATAATCTTTCAAAGCATGAACAATTTCGTCCATCTATTTTAATTTTTAAAAAATATTTTTAAAGATTTTGCACCTGAAATGTAGCCAACAAATGTTCGATTAAAACCTGAAAGTATTGAAATACATCTGTATAATAGATCTAAGTTTATTAGTTCTAGTTTGCTTACTAAAGTTTACAAATTAATTCAAGCTTTAACTAAAAATACAAAAAATAACAGAAAATACAAATAAACTTGAAATATTGCCTAAGCATTAAAATTTTACTTCAATTTTTAATTAACTATAAAGGAAAAATAAACTTAAATTATTGTTTAGGTTTTCAAGTTTTGCAGACTTAGAAAATAAAAACTTGGTTAATAATTTATTTAAGTTTGTAAACTTGAAATACTTAATATTATTAAATTTACAACTTTAATTCAAGTTTTAACTAATACTGCTTAAGTTTATTTATTTATTTCAAGTTTACAAACTTGAAATATAAATATTATTATTTATTAAGTTTGTAAACTTTAATTCATGCTTTATTAATTAAAAAATACTGACAGTGCACTTAATTGTAGATTTAGGCAATCCCAGTCTTTCCTCAGAAAAGGCAAAAACATCGGCCCAAAGTTGGGCTTCTTGTGCATTCTGGAGTTTAGGCAAATAAAAATACGGGCCGCTTCCCTTCTCTTGCAAAGCTTTTGCATTATGGAAAAGATAAAGACCAAAGTCGAAAAGCTTAAAATTAAAAGAATAAAAGCCCAGTTCCTCAAACAACATACAGAGGCAGACATTGGCTTGTCATTAATAAGAACATGTTTTTCCGGAAGGTGCCAACCACGAGGGCGAACTTTCAAAACTGCTGTATTTTTCTTGAGGGAGTATTCTTGTTTGGTGATAGGGTTAACATAATGGATTCGGCCACGGATTGCTTCGTGTAAATTAATTTGTCCTTCAATTTGGTTCCTCCAAGTTGGTGAATTTGCATCCTTTTTTTATTAAAAAAATTTTTTCCTTTGAGAAGAAAATTTCTCTCACTTCAAAATCAGCCATAAATACTTTAGCTCCAGAATTCAAAGCATTGATAACCATTTTTCTGTCTGTTGGCCCTGTAATTTCTACACGACGATCAAGCAAATCCTCCGGAATTTCAGCACCACTCCACCCCAAATCGTCACGAATATTTTTTGTAGTTGAATCGAAATCGGGGAAATAATCTCCTTGATCGAGTCTGTATTGAAGAATTTTGCGTTGAGCTAGGAGAGAATGGCGTCGAGGCTCGAATTTTTGGTGAAGTTCGCGAAGGAAACGGAGGGCATCGGGAGTGAGTATAGTCTCGTCTCCAGCATTTTCAGGGGCGGTGATCTATTTTTTAGAATTTATTTAGTAAATGTAGTCAGCCCCAGGGCTGTGCGCCAAATTTTCTCTTTCAGCCGCAAGGGTCATCCACGCTAAACACCATGACGCTCAGCCCTGGTCAACCCTAATCACTATTATAAGCTAACCCGTGCGGCTGAAAAATCTGTATCTTATAATGGGTGTCCCTTTAATAGAGGGTGCCGCTCAATAATCAACCAAATTAAAAACGTATCCTAAATAAACGTATCATCGAGGTCATGCACTATTGGGGGTCTGAACTCACTATAAGACACACCCTTAAACCTTATAATGAAGATATACCAAATAGAGGGTGTCTATTATTTGGTGTTTTAAAAGTGAGGACTGACTTCTGTAAAAAAGAATCTTGAAGGATTACCGTCACAATTTCATCCTCATCGGCAGAAGCAGTAGCCGTATGAAATTGAGCCTCCTCAGTGCTCCCCTTAAGTGCAGTCGTCGAAGAAATACCTCCTGCAGCAGCTTGAGCAACATAATCAAAATATCCTGTGCCTACTTCTCGTTGATGTTTAACCGCCGTGTAACCGAATCTTTTTTTAATTTTAAAAAATTTTATAAATTTTTTTCAAAGGTCACTTTTCTGCAGCAAATTCTTTTTCCTGTAATTCCGAATATGCAGCCATACCGCGTTCTTTATAATTTCTAGCCAAATCGAAAACGCTAAAATTGTTGGTGTGGAAGCCAGCAAGAGTTATAAATCTTGAGTTTAAATTTCTTTAAATTAAGAGAAATCATTCCTCTCACTGATATTTAAATCCCATAGCTCCAAGTTCACGTTGGAATTTTTCCATGTCCGAAGGTCTCAAATGCTGTCTCCAGTTAAATGAGGGAGAGCAATTGTAGGCGAATAATTTATCGGGGAATTCCTTTAAAAGTTTAATTTTTTGGCAATAATCCTTTTCCCTCGAGTATTGTGAGTGATTAGAGATCGGACCGAGATTCTTGTATGGCATCTCAAACGAAAATCCCAGTTATTGAGAATGAGAGATTTTTCGAGATACCGATCTCAATTCTTGTAAGACCCTCCTAGTTCGGTCAGTCTGGAGAGAGATTTCTAGTTCTCCTCCTTGTATAGGCTCTTGTTCCTCTAAAAATAATTTTTCTACCTTCCTTACACCCTCAGAAAATTCTCTAGCATCTGTCAGAGTTGGATGTGAACTTAAAAATAATTTTCTTAAAAATCAAAAATCGCTTCAATTTTACGTTTCCATCCAAATTAAATCGCAATAAGGAGCATAGCTTTTAGCACGTTCAATACACGATTGGATGGCATTGTCTTCACGTAAACGGTAGAATCCTTCAGCCGTTCTTCCAGCGTGTTTATCAATGAATGGATGGTCACGTTCATCGATATCACTTTAGAAAAATTTCTCAAAAATTTTTTCTTCCACTACAATACCTAGTAATTAAACGTGCAGATTCTGCATCAGTTCTAGCCACTATAATTGTTGGTACTCCACAAACATCGGCTGCCAAACGTGCAGCATTTAGATGGCGAATATGTTGGGCTGTAGGGATCAAAACTTTTCCCCCCATATGCCCACACTTTTTCTCTGATCCTAATTGGTCCTCAAAATGTACACCGGATGCTCCAGCTTCGATATAGGCCTTTAAAGAATTTTTAAAAATTTTTTCAGCTAAATTCCAATAAAATTCAAAATTACTTTCATTAGTTCAAAACAATTTAAAGCACCCCCAAATCCCGCCTCTGCATCAGCAACTATGGGAACATACCAATCACGTTGGGATTTGTAATCCTCAGCCTTTAGAAATTTAAATTAAAAAATAAAAGAATTCAGTTATGACCTCAACACATTCAACGAGATCAGCACGTCGCAATGCTCGGTTAATTTTTCGGGCAAGTTCGGGCCCTAAAATATTTTTATAAATATACTCGAAACCTTTAATTAATAAAAGGTTTACCAGAATTGGCAGGATAAAGTGACTGGTCGGGATACCTAAAAAATAATAACTGTAAAGCCAGGCTTGTGTGACACCCCAATGCTAGATAAACATCAAGTTAAAATAAGTTTTCGAATTTTAGTTAACCTCTATGTGAAAGAGTGATGCTCCTAGTTTAATTTATGTTTCATAAGGTCTTACTATTTTTTAATTCCAAGGGGTATTTTTAGTAGGGTCGTCTATAAAAAATTTATTTAAAATAATTTATTGGTTAGCCTCTAGGTGAGGAGAGCTGGCTGAACGATTCCCCTTATTTAAGATACAGCGCATTATAAGGGACTATTATTCAGTCGGGTATTTTATAGTCTGATCCATCCGTCCATTATAAACTTTATTATTCCCAAAAAATAATTTTTTCTCTCTTACATATCTCCGGCAGTGTTTGCATCAGCAGCTACTTGCCAACCTTTTTTTTAAATAAAAATTATTTTAAAGGAAATTTTGAAAATAACCTGACAAATAAATAGCTTTAAGACCAGCCCTAACCATTTGAACAGCTTGGTTGCCAGTTAGAGCACCCAACGCAGCTATATAGGGTTCTGTATGTAACAATTGCCATAATTTATTTGCACCTCTAGTTGCTAGTGTGTAACTTAAATTTTTTTTATTTAACAAAATTCTGATTTCTATTCTGGTTATAGTGTAAGACTGGAGAAGCTTTCTCCCATCCTTGTTGATAAAGTACATAAAAATTTACTAGCTTTAGAAGGCGTTAAGGACTATCCAATCCTTTCTTATTTAGGGATGGGTTCTAAGCAGGGAGGCCTCCTTCGCTGTTTAAAGGGCAGTACTCTCTGGATTTTCGGGGAGTATACAGTCGTGGAAAAAAGTATGGAAGCGCTAGAAAAAGTTTTTTAAATTCTTAAATTTTTATTCAAAAAATACGTTCTATATACCAATCGAAAGCTCTATTCGTATCTCAGTTGACATGTTTCTGCATTTTTCATGAAAATGAAAATTGGCCGAGATAATCCCGATCTACCCATTTGATAAAGCATATTTTTCTGAGTATTTTGCACAAAACCGCTTAGAAATATCTTTTTCCGGAACAGAGATATGATTTTTTGAAAATCGTATTTTTCCCTTAAAAATCGAATTTTTTGCAAAATTTGACGAAAAATACGATTTTCAAAAAATCATATCTCTGTTCCGGAAAAAGATATTTCTAAGCGGTTTTGTGGAAAATACTCAGAAAAATATGCTTTATCATTTGGGTTTGTTAAATTTGTTCCGAAAAATTTTTCCGAAAAAGTGGGATTTGGTATATCCGGTAGATCGGGATTATCTCGGCCAATTTTCATTTTCATGAAAAATGCAGAAACATGTCAACTGAGATACGAATAGAGCTTTCGATTGGTATATAGAACGTATTTTTTGAATAAAAATTTAAGAATTTAAAAAACTTTTTCTAGCGCTTCCATACTTTTTTCCACGACTGTATGTAATCTCCCCAAAATACCCATAACTATCATATCGCTTTGGAGAGGGTTACTATAACCAGAATTACTATAATATATTTTCCAAAAATAAAAATAATAATTCTTTACTCAATATCAATAGATCCCCTCAATTTCAACAAATCCTCAACTTCATAATTTCGTTTAATTCCTTTATAACGACCCTTTGGTGCTGTCTTTACCACCTTAAAAATATTAAATCTTCAATAATTTTTTTCAGTTAAACCAACTTGATAAAAATTTTTGGCGATAGTCTGTGACATTTTTTGTTGTTAAATAAAACCCGCTTTATTCAAAATTAATTTTTAATTTTATTTTTTTTTTCTAAAAATTTTTTTTCTGATTTTTTAAATTTTTTAAATTTCATTAAAATAAAAGTACAATTTTATTTTTATTTTTTTACTTTTATGGAAAAAGAAAAATGATTTTATTATTTTTATCGATGTTTTTGATATTGGGGGAATAGATGGAAAAATAATGAAAAACAAAAAATTGTTTGTATAGGGGGAGACTCTCCACATAAATAAAAATATAGGGGGAAATGATTAAAAAAAAAGAATTTTTTAGAAAAATATATTAATTTTTTATTGATATTTTTTAAATTTAATGATAAAAATAAATGTAAACAATTTAAATTAATTAACAAAAATAATTTTTTTATCAAAATTTATCAAGTCAAACACCTTTCGGGACCTAATTTAGTGGTGGATGGAGGTGATGTGTAAGGATATGTGTGGGGGAGTCAAATAGTTAAGACTAAAACTTAATTAGGATCTGAGCCGATTTAAGAAGGGAAGTGATGTGTGAGGGGATTAAAAAGGGTATTTTGAATGTGAGGAGCATCAAGGGAAGTGACCTTTCAGGACTTATGTGAGGGACAATAAGGACCTAACTGAAATGAGCCGATTTAAAATAGGTAGGGTTATGTGTGAGAGTGTTGAGGGGTTTTTGAATGTGAGGAGCAGGGATCCCGTCGAGCCGATTCCCGAAATCGGGAAATTTATTTGTTTTGTCGGCAGGATCCCTGGTGAGCAGTATCAAGTGAAATGACATTCGAGGAGTTTTTTAAAATTATTTTTGTTAAAATTTTTTGAATTTTATAGAAAATATTTTCTCTAATATTTTAAAAGTGTACTGAGAGATCAGATTTTTCATAGTAAAAATTAAAAGAAAATAAACATTGAACACACAAGTGTAACACAGTTAATGACGTTTAGAGAGAGAACCCTACAAAATTGAATTTTTAGCTGTATGAGAGATCGAAAATTTATTTAAAAAAATATTTTTTTGTTTTTCTTACTCCGATTAATCATTTAATATATTATCGATGGAGAACAGTTTAGGTTGAGCATATTTGGCGGAGAAAAATAGTAAATCAAAGGGTGGGAAAGGAAGGAATGAAGGGTTTATTTAGAAGAAAAATAAAAATAAATATTTATTGAGAGAAGGAACAGGAATATTAGAGAGATCTTTGCAAAATAGTTTACCCAGCATGGAGAGGATTAATCGAATTAAAAAAATTTTTAAAGAAAAATTTAAAAAAATATAGGTATTAGTTTAAAAATACGACAAAATCTCTATAGAACGACCTCCAATCCCTTGTCATTCTCCTTCCAATAACACCTCAATTCGGTCCCGAGTGGTCTGCTTCTGTTTGATTTGCCCCCCAATCCTAACATCGGAACGGCTTATAACGCAAGTAAAGTTCGGCTCGGGAGATGTCTTTATTTAGAGAGTATTTGATAAAAATTTATCTGAATGTTTCTTGGACTAGGGTTGTCGGTTTAGCAGATTCCTCGGATAACCGAAGCCGAACTGATAAACCGAACCGAAGATTTGGGTCAACCACAACTGAGCCGTCAAGCCTATATTCTTGACATAATTATAATCCTTCAAAATTATAGTAAAAATAAGTACGGCAGTGGCAAACGGAAATTTAAAGTTGCAAGTTTCATGTCGCAATAATGAGAAAAAATCAAAAATTCTTTTATCTTTAAATACCTCAAAAATAAAGATAAGATTAAATAAAAATAAATCAAAGTCCAACCACGCGGAGTATATTTTTATCTCAAAATCTATAATATATATTTATGTTTCTTTTAAAGGAAAAATTCCCCCAAAAAAATTCCTTCCTCAAAAATTAACGGGGAACCACACAGAGACATGTGTGTAGGGTAATAAAGAACAAAGTCCATCCTCGTGTTGATTTATAGGAGATAAAAAAATAAATTTATATGTATGTGATAACTAAAATAGTAATAATTAATTCAGAAATAAGTGTATGTGTTACAAAGTTCTTCCCTCTATAATTTGAGGAAGAATTAATCTTAACAAAAATAATACATGCTTAAGGGGTTAAATAATTGATAAAAATAGGTAGGTATTTGGAGCAAATTTAAATTTAATTTAAAAAAGATTTAAGGATAAATGAAAAATTATTTTAATCCTTCTATTCTAGACAGAATCTCGATCAGAGAAAGTAACATTTTTCAATTTAAAATAAAAAAAAAGTCGTGTAAATCAAAAGAGGATTTATTCCTTTGCCTATACATGTGCTAAAAAGTAATTTTTTCATTTTAAATTAAAGGCAACAAAGATATCTATAAATAAATAAAGGAAATCCCCATTAATCAGTCTCTCCAATCAGTCGTTAAAAATAAAAATCGATTTGATCTGTATCTAATAAAAAGTTTTTTTAATTAAAAATGAATAGTTTTTTGCTAACTAGGTATTGGCTAAATATTTTAAAAAATTTTATGATTAAGGAAAAAAATTTTTTAAGTGTGGACAGGGGTGCATATACATAGACTTTCTACAGTGTATTCATAATTTATTTTTTTTTAATTTAAAGACAAGTGCTACTTAATAAAAATAATTTTTACAATAAAAAAAACAAAAGAAAGGACTTAATAAATAAAATTGTTGATCACACATTAATTTTTTTAAATAGAAACATTTTTATTGGATATATGAATAGCTTAAATATTATATAAGTGCTGCTTTTAATAGTTTAAAAAGCTGTTGTGTTTAGCTTTGGAAAGGGAGAAAAGAAAATGTGTTTTTATTATTTTTAATTTTCTAGTTAAAAATAAATTGGTTGATTATGAAAATTATTTTTGTTAAAGACCCTGAAGATTAGTTAAGACATTTTTAAGGAAAATTCAAAAATCTGCTAGGGATCCTTCAATATTTAATTTTATTTTTGTTTTTGGACCCCTAAAAAGTGTCTCTAAAAGTATCCACGAGCTTCTCATTAATAAACCCCACGATCTTTGACAAATTTGGAGATCCTAGTCAGAAATTTATAATCGCCTTGTTCGTGATCTTGTTTAGCATAAGTTTCATTGATCATTACAGAAAACTATCAAACAGTAAAGGCATGGCAATTTTTCAAATACTCTTATTTTTCTGTTTCAATGGAATTTTAAAAGCATTTGAATGCGCAAATGGAGAGCTAACTACATTTTTACGTCATCAAAGGTTGTACATAAATGAAGAAATTAATGTAAAAATTAAAGCAAATTTTGTTAAAAGAATGGATTCTATTGAGGTAATTTAAAAGTTAATCGAGAATCTAGTAAAATATTTAAAAGTAAGGACAGTCGTATCGGGTAGGCATCGTAGGCATGCAGTATCTGACAACTCCCCAATCTGGATCTCGAATATCTTAAACTGCTAGCCTTTAACTGCTAGCCTCCTTCATCCTCCATCTTCACAATTTTGACGAAGAAGGAGGATAATGCCTTCATCTGAGCCAAAAGCCGAAAGTGCATTCCAGATAATGCTGTCAGTATCCTATGAGAATGATCGGGCTCAGAAATACTCCAGAGAATCTCCCAATCCTTAATATAGGATACTAATCTGGTTCCTAATCTTCATTCAAATTTAATAAATTATTAACTTAATAGTTTTAAAGGAATGTGCAGATTTGTGTTTAAATAATTTAAATTCTGTTGATATTAATAACAAATTTATTTGTCATGGATTTACATTTTATTTAAAAAATAATGTTAATAAAATTAAAAATAATTCAAAAGAAGAAATTGGAGAAAATATTTGTGAATTTTTCGATGAAAATAGATCAGAAATATTAGAAAGGAAGCCTTTATTAATTCAAAATAATGAAAATTTCAAAAGAAATAATATTAGGAGGAATTATTTTGAGAAAATTTGTTTGGCTACAAAAGTTGGAAATTTGGTAAGATTAAATACATATATGAATCAGACCGA